CACCTACGTAAATCTTGTCACAGCCTCTACAGGGTATGGTGTAAACTCCTGCGTTGACTGGTTCATGGTGCTTTGATTTTGTCCTGGTTAGATCCTTTATTAAAGTGCTAGAAGCGATGGCGACTCTGGTGTTAGCTTGTGAAAGTACTTTAGAAACGTTCAGTGCAACCTGGCTGTTAGGAAGAATTATAGCTTTGTTGGGAGTGGTGTTGGTGCGTGGAGAATTAATGATCTGAAGAGCTCTTTTCTTGCAGTCTTTGATGAAAAAGGAAGAAAAATGTAACTCAGTGAATGTTTGGTGAATGTGTGAACATTCCTCGTCAAGAAACTCAGGACTACAAATTCGGTATGCTCTTAGGAAACACCCGATGATGATGCCTCTTTTGGTCTTGGTATCTTGACTGGAATAGAAGTGTGTGAGATCATTTTTATTGGTAGGTTTCCGATAAACTTGAAATCTTAGGTTGTTGTCTACTTTGTGAATGAGGACGTCGAGGAAAGGTAGCTTGTCATTGGACTCTTCTTCTAGTGTAAACTGGATCGCCGGTTCAACTGCATTGAGCCTTGCCTGAAGATTCCGCACATCAAAACATTTGGGAGTTATTACGAGGACGTCGTCCACGTAACGTAACCAAGTGACGCTTGAAGGGATGATGTTGGTGAAGTGTTCGGACTCTAGGTGTTCCATGTATAAGTTGGCTAGGACGGCACTGATGGGGGGCCCCATTCCCATGCCGTAGGTTTGTTTGTAGAGCTTGTTATTGAAAGAAAAACAGTTGAAATTAACACAGTTCAATCAAGTCAACAAAATCTCCGGGAGGTAGAGGAAGATTAAGGTCCTGACTGACTTTACGTCGTAGAACCTCGATGGCTTTTGTGGTAGGTACTTTTGTGAAGAGGGAAGTCACGTCCAACACCACTCCCAACAAAGTTATAATTCTTCCCAACAGTCAGGTTGCACTGAACATTTCTAAAGTGCTTTCACAAGCTAACACCAGAGTCGCCATCGCTTCTAGCACTTCAATAAAGGATCTAACCAGGACAAAATCAAAGCACCACGAACCAGTCAATGCAGGAGTTTACACCATACCCTGTGGAGGCTGTGACAAGATTTACGTAGGTGTAACAGCAAGAAACCTCGACACCCGCCTCAATGAACACATTTACGCATGTAGGAACGATAACTTGAACAACGCCCGTGTACAACACCGAAATTCCACCAATCATCTCATGAAATTCAGGGACGCCCAATTAGTGATCAAAGAAGCTAACTTTCGCAGACGCAAGTGCCTCGAATCAGCACTGATCGCTGTTTCGAATACAATTAAACAAAACAATGGCAGCTTCACCATCTCTGAAGTCTTAGCAAGAACCCTCCTAAAAACAGTAAACCCTGCCATCACATAGTCTCTCCTGTTATACTACACAAAGCACATTACAGAGAGTGAACACTGAAACAGGCTGCCTCTATCCAGTCTGTATTCGTCCATGTTACGATTCGAATCTTAATCTTTAGCCAGTTTAGTGCACTCCATAACAACACACTTCATAGAATGAGAGGATATGGTTCCAAACTTAGAAATGTAAGGCACAAATAATTGTTACTCAGTCTTTTCTAGTTTTTTTTTTATTTAAAAGTTTAAATACTTTAGATATTCATAAATATCTATTAAATATCACTTTGTCAGAAACTTTCCTTCACACAAGAAAACTCTTAAATAGAAAACATCATAGACCCCCTCTGGAGACTGTCTATATGGTCACTACACTTGATAATGATCAGAGGAATATTACTGCTTCCTCAATAGTAACATTACTTGTGTGCAAGTACATATATTGAGAATTAACCCTTTCACTGAGTAACTCCCTGGCATAAGGAATATATCACAAAGTTCTAAGCTTGACACTGGTCGTCACATCGTAACCTGAAGATAACAGTATATAATTGTCCGCAGACTTCACTTCACAATAAACCACAAGCTGGTTCAGGAGTTTCTATAACGCAATTCTCTATCCAAGTGAGAATAAGGCGGAGTACTAGGAGGGTAGCTCAGTCAATGCACACTGAGTCGGCAGGGAGAGTGAACTGGCCATATACAGTAAATCCCTTCATGACATCAACTCGTCAAAAGGGGGAGAGGGTAGAGCGGTGCGAACTACCCACCAATGGACATACATGTACCTTGTTATAAACCTTAGCCAGGTGTACCTACCTAACACATTACTCAAGATAGATATATATATATATATATATATATATATATATATATATATATATATATATATATATATATATATATATATATATATATATCATACCCAGGTATATTCCTAAATCAGATAATATTATAAACTAGTGGAATCTTTAATTTAGCTAATATTAAAGAAACCCCGAGTATAATATTAAGTGGGTAATACATATAAATTAATCTCATTATGACCTTGGTCATAACAGTCCAACCTATTTTTATGTTACCCAAGTAATAGCTTTTATATCCTTTTACTCATGTATGAATTAATTGCTCTACCATATTGCATTACTACTACTACTACAACTTTTGTCACTACTATTACCACTAGTATTGCACCTCACTCTGAGCCTATATATACCCTCTGTGTCCATGTATTGTTTGTAATGGCTTGATAAAGCTCCTGGAGAGCAAAACGTTACCACAACAAAATGTCACATTAGTTGCACTTGTGTCCTTTTACTTTACATATTGTCGGTAATTCTACCAACTTCATTACAATGTGTCTTGTTTGTGACTAGAGTATAAGAGCATTGGTAGAATGTGGGGGAAACTGATATAAAGTGTTGCTATAGTGTACTTGTATGAGCGTTGTTGTCATGCCAATACTTTCACTATGAGTAAATACCATGTTATGAAGAGCAGCAGGATGCATTCAAATCAGAGAAAAGTGCACGGCTCCACGATGGTGTTAATTGGCCATATGCATTTGGTTTTGGAATGGTTGGTGCTTTTATTTAATAAATGTATGGAAGAGGGTAAGGTACCTAGGGATTGGCAAAGAGCGTGCATAGTTCCTTTGTATAAATGCTAAGGGGACAAAAGAGAGTGCAAAAATTATAGGAGGATAAGTCTGTTGAGTATACCTGGTAAAATGTATGGTAGTTATTATTGAAAGAATTAAATTTCTGAGTAAGACAGAGAGTAGGATAGCAGATGAACAAGGAGGCTTTAGGAAAGGTAGGGGGTGTGTAGACCAAGTGTGTACTGTGAAACATATAGGTGAACAGTATTTAGATAAGGCTTAAGAGGTTTTTGTGGCATTTATGTATTTGGAAAAGGCGTATGACAGCGTGGATAGGGGGGCAATGTGGCAGATATTGCAGGTGTATGGTATAGGAGGTAGGTTACTGAAAGCATTGAAGAGTTTTTACGAGGATAGTGAGGCTCAAGTTAGAGTATGTAGGAAAGAGGGAGATTATTTCCCAGTAAAAGTAGGCCTTAGACATGGATGTGTGATGTCACCATGGTTGTTCAGTATATTTATAGATGGGGTTGTAAGAGAAGTGAATGTGAGGGTCTTGGCAAGAGATATGGAGTTAAAATATAACGAATCAAATATAAAGTGGGAGTTGTCACAGTTGCCAGTTGCTTTTTGCTGATGACACTGTGCTCTTGGAAGATTCTGAAGAGAAGTTGCAGAGGTTGGTGGATGAATTTGGTAGTGTATGTAAAACAAGAAAATTAAAAGTGAATATAGGAAAGAGTAAGGTTATGAGGATAAAAAGATTAGGTGATGAAAGATTGGATATCAGATTGGAGGGAGAGAATATGGAGGAGGTGAATGTATTCAGATATTTGGGAGTGGACGTGTCAGCAGATGGGTCTATGAAAGATGAGGTGAATCATAGAACTGATGAGGGGAAAAGGGTGAGTGGTGCACTTAGGAGTCTGTGGAGACAAAGAACTTTGTCCTTGGAAGCAAAGAGGGGAATGTGTGAGAGTAGTTTTACCAATGCTCTTATATGGGTGTGAAGCATGGGTGATGAATGTTGCAGTGAGGAGAAGGCTGGAGGCAGTGGAGATGTCATGTCTGAGGGCAATGTGTGGTGTGAATACAGTGCAGAGAATTCGTAGTTTGGAAGTTAGGAGGAGGTGCGGGATTGCTAAAACTGTTGTCCAGAGGGCTGAGGAAGGGTTGTTGAGGTGGTTCGGACATGTAGAGAGAATGTAAGTAAGTAAGTTTATTCAGGTATACACAAATACAGTTACATAGAATTATCATACATAGCAACATATGTGTAGAGAACCTAGGATAACCCAAAAAAGTCAGACAGAGTGACTTATTTCCATTGGGGTCCTTTATGAAAGAAACAGAATTACTTCGAGAGTGTATAAATCTGTAAATAACAAAAAAAGGCACAATACCGTGACTGGAACGATACACAAATAACCCGCACATAGAAGAGAGGAGCTTACGACGATGTTTCGGTCCGACTTGGACCACTTACAAAGTCATACTGGTCCAAGTCGGACCGAAACGTCGTCGTAAGCTTCTCTCTTCTATGTGCGGGTTATTTGTGTGTATAAATCTGTAGTGGAGGGAAGGCGGGGTAGGGGTCGATCTAGGAAAGATTGGAGAGGGGGTAAAGGAGGTTTTGTGTGTGAGGGGCTTGGATTTCCAGCAAGCATGCATGACTGTATTTGATGGGAGCGAATGGAGACAAATGGTTTTTAATACTTGATGGGCTGTTGGAGTGTGAGCAAAGTAACATTTATGAAGGGATTCAGGGAAACCGGCAGGCTGGACTTGATTCCTGGAGATGGGAAGTGCAGTGTCTGCACTCTGAAGGAGGGGTGTTGATGTTGCAGTTTTATAAACTGTAGTGTAAACCACCCCTCTGGCAAGGCAGTGATGGAGTGAATGATGATGAAAGTTTTTCTTTTTCGGGCCACCCTGCCTTGGTGGGAATCGGCTGATGTGTTAATAAGAAAAATATTTTATTTTTTATAGTTATGTTTCTCCCCAGTACCGTGTACTAGCTCAAGGCTGCTGGTATATGCTGTTTGGCATCTCTGCTGCATCACTCAACTCTGCAAATGTAATTGAGAGTCCATCCCAAGACCGTCCGCTCCTTGATAGTGCTGCTAATTCCTATACTTATGTAAGTATACCAGCATGGTGCATTGTTATATTGGGTTTTGGTTAAATGAGTGTGTTAAGTTTATTGAAACATTTGGTAGTGTAAATGAATATGGAAGATCTGTGATTTTATATCTACCTCTAAGTCTTGTACATATAAAGCTTTTATAACTTAGAATCATGATTGTCAGTATGATGAGCATTTTAAACCCTTTCACTGTTGGGACCCCTGCTCACAAAATTGCTCTCAGTGTCGAAGAATTTAAAAAAAAAAAAAATTTCTTATGAAATGATAGAGAATCTTTTTCCGATGGTAATGAAACCAAAAGTATGAAATTTGATGGAAAACTTATGGAATTACACTATCACGAAGTTAGCAATCTTGGCATTATTTAGGCATAGGCGATTTCGCCCACTTTGAACCCTATTTTCTGCTAATTCAATCATTCCAGTTGACCAAACTCATAGCTATTTCGCTGGAACTCCTTTTGTTCTATCGAATGAGTACAAGAAACCATGAAACCACCCATTTACCAATTTCAACTACCCAATAAAGTGATCAGAAATTGGTAATTTGGCCAATTTCATATACAATTCAGGGAAGGCCAATTTCAATAGAGGGTCCAGAATTAACAGTGCAAACATTATTAGCACTAAAATAACATTTTCTCTGTTCACTGGTCATATTTCCAGGCCCCTCTTACATTGTACTTGCTTTCCAGTTTTAATTTTTATTCTCACAGAAAATAGAAGATTTACTGTTATGCAGACCACTGCATTATTGTAAAAATGGTATAAATAATATCAGCACATTTGTGAAAGCATGTTAGACCCACCAGGTGACGTGTATGGAACGAGTGACGTGATTTGTTTACTCTTGAATATCAGCAAAAATCAAACATTTCCGCTACTTTGAGCTCAATTTCAAGGTACTTTTAGTCTGTAAACCACTCAAAATCATCTCTGTTTCTGTAATATATCTTCATTCTATCAAATGAGACCAAGAAAATGAGAATGCAACCATAAATACCATACGAAAATACACCTCAAAGTCGCTGTTTTAAGCCAAAAACACGTTTGGAGTTTTTTTCTCATTATGACACAGTGTGCTGCAGGATTTTTTTGTATACTGTGCACACTGACCACTCAGACCCATTCTTTCACATGCAGGCCTACCAACTTTGTCCCTTAACCCTTTCAAGGTTTCGGCTGTACTGGTACGGCTTATGCACCAGGGTTTTTGACGTACTAGTACGCCTAAATTCTTGCGTCCTCAAATCTAGTGAGAGAAAGGTGGTAGGCCTACATATGAAAAAATGGGTCTATATGGTCAGTGTGCGCAGTATAAAAAAAATTCTGCAGCACACTGCATAATGAGAAAAAAAAAACTTTGACCATGTTTTTGGATTAAAACAGCGACTTTGCACTGTATTTTCGTATGGTATTTATTGTTGTATTCTAGTTTTCCTGGTCTCATTGTATAGAATGTAAGACATATTACAGAAACTGAGATGGTTTTGACTGATTTTACAATGAAAAGTACAGTACCTTGAAATTGAGCTCAAATAGCAGAAATGTTCAATTTTTACCAAAGTTCAAAAGTAAACAAATCATGCTAAGCATCCAATACACGTCAACTGGTGAGTCTAATATTCTTTCACAAGTGCGCTGATATTATTTATACCATTTTTTTACACTAATGCAGTAGTCCGCATAACAGTAAATCTTCTATTTTTTGTGAGAATAAAAATTCAAAGTGGAAAGCAAAAGAATGTAAGAGGGGCGTTGGGACATGACTAATGAATAGAGGAAATGTCATTTTAGTGCCAGGAATGTCTTTCTTGTTTATTCTGGACCCTATTTGGAAATTGGCATCTTTTGAAATTTGTGTGAAATTGGCAAAATTGCTAGATTCTGACCACTGTATTGGATAGTTGAAATCGGTAAATGGGTAGTTTCTGCACTCATTCGATAGAAAAAATGGAGTTCTAGCAAAATATTCACAATTTTTGTCAACTAGTACAATGGAATTGGCTGAAAATAGGGCTCAAATTGGGCAAAATCGCCGATGCGTAAACATCGTCGAGACCGCTAACTTCGCGAGAGCATAATTCCGTAAGTTTTCCATCAAATTTCATACTTTTGGTGTCATTATGATCGGGAAAAGATTCTCTATCTTTTCATAAGAAATAATATTTTTTTTTTTTTGTTTGGAATTTGGGCGACCCTGAGAACAAGTTTCTGAGAGGGTCTGTCGACCCTGAAAGGGTTAAGATTGGAAGCCGCTAGAATTATGGCGTAGTATTACGGGACTGATACTGGATTTTAAGCTGTAATATTATGGGACTGACAGTGAAAGGGTTAAAGAATACCTATCTTTGGACTTGAGATCACTGAAAAGAGGTATAAACCCCAAAGACTAATTTGAAGACTACTGAAAGAAACACTGCTAGTACTATTTATATACAACTGGTCAGTGGATCATTTTAATTGTGATGTCTGTGCACTTCTGGCAAGATAGTTGTTGAATGTGTGATGGTTATTGTCTTTTCTTACTTTGGTCACCCTGCCTTGGCAGGAAACAGCTGGTGGTGTTAAAAACAAAAAAGTGATTTGGTCAGTCAGTCCTGTCATATTTCTTCTGAATCATCTTGCAGAATTTAAGTATAACGTTTGTATATACTGAGTGTGTTGAATATGTAATTTGTTTCAACAAATATGGCTTGTAATTTTCAACCAATTTAAGCCAGTAATTATTGTAGTCACCACATGCTGTCTAATTATCTCTTTGTTGTTACAGGAAAAAGCTTTTGCTCATGATGTCTTGCCATCTGTTAAGCATTTGTTATTAAAGTTTTTTAAATTCCCAGTGGTTCTTGGACACTGTTCCTTCTTGCATCAAGAACTCGTCTACTTTTTTTACATTCTTTTATAAATTTACAAGTCCCGGTAATTATCATATCTCCTTTTATCCCGACTTTCAGTGAGGGTATTTCCAGTGACTATAGAGAGTTTGCAGTTAAAAGATCAAGCAGCTGGGTCCACCATTTTGCTGGTCCAATGTACTGTTTTCACTCAGTAGCCATTGAGTGTGCAGAGACTATAAAATCAAAACATTAAATATTTTACACAATACAGATGTCATCAGTTGAAATTTTATACAAATGTAATATCATTATTATTTGGTACAGCAGTTTATTTGTTTCTGGTTCCTCATCCTCATTATTTGCTTTAAATAGCTTGAGGTATGAATATAACATATTTATGATGAGGCCAGACACAGGTATGTTAAAATTATTGACGAAGGTATTAAAATTAAGCTTTTGTGGATTCCCCCTCATATAGTTTCTGAAGCATGACCAGCCCTTGGCTGGAGCTATAGCCTTTGTCGACTCCTGCTTTAATATCGTACATATCGTAGAAGTTCTATGCTGGTACTGCCTGGCAAAGTCCACAACCCGCACACCTCCCTTGTGTTTATCAATGGACATCATCCTCTATTTCTTCTCAGCATTGTGCTTTGCACTTACTTTCTTAGGACCCATGATTAGAAAAAAGAAATTTGGCAAAATAATTGCACAAAATGCAAGCACAGCACAAGAGAAGTGCTTCCACAGTGAGGTAAACACATGCACTGCTGAGCGGATGTTGTGGTGTTCACTGCGCCAACCAGTGGCAGTGTTCTGATGCTCACTCATGACTCGGATTTTGGCTCGTAACTTGGAGCAAAAAATCAACTGAGTGACGGCTCGTAACTTGAAAAACTCGTATGTTGGGGCACTTGTAAGTCGAGGTTCCATTGTACGTACTGCCCCCTTTCTCTCCTTTCTGTTAGTGTGACTTTGTAAATGGTCCATGTCGGACTGAAATGTCGTCATGAGCTCCTCTCTCCTATGTGTGGGTTATTTGTGTATTGTTCCAGTCACAGTACAGTATTGAGCCTTTTTTATTATTTACATGAAATGTAAAGTGCATGGACAGTGACAAGGGTCACATGTAGAAATTTTTTTTTATAGAACCATCAACCCTCCAGTCATTTAGGGACTCGTAACAAACCTAGGAAGAAATGGTGAATCGCGTCATTGTTAATGGTAATGTAAATGAACTTTTGAAATTATGTCCACATTTTGCACCAGCTAGATGCTCAAGCTTTTTACTTGATGATATTCTAACCTAGTAACCCTTCAAGGAAGGTGCCTTGATGCTTATGAGTAGTGGCTCTTTTTCCAAGTAATTGGACCTGTCTTTCATTTCCTGGGATCAGCCCTGATTGCCTCCAATTCCCCCAGGTGCTTTATGATCTCCATGGACTTCGCCCCTAATGAATGTAATAATAATAATCTAACTTAGTAAAGGACCAATATTTGTAATGGTACTGATAATTTCTTTTTAAGATTGTATTTACATATGGCAATGGGTAGTCAATCAGTTAAAAGGCAAGATTGTAATACATAAAAAGACTGTACTGTGTAATATATTAATGATGTAACTATGCCTTGTAGTGTCCGACAGACCTGTTGTACCCTCTGTAATCGTACTGTTTTGCACTACCACTCGTAGAATAAGTGATGGTTTCCTAATAAACAAAAGAATGCTTTGTTACATGTCATGTCATGTGACAGCTTAAATGTGTGATTGTGACACAGAAGTGAAACAGAAATATGATATTGTACAGTCTGCTTAGTGGGTTCCCATTTTCTTTTCATACTCCAAACATCTTTATTCATCTTCATGTATTATTATATTATATTAGTGGCATCATTGTATGTTAAAATAGGTTAATTTTTGTTAATAGAGAACAGACTAACTTACTGCTTCAGAATTTTTATATGAACATTAATTTCATACATGTTATGATTAATATTAGTAATGTAGGAGGCTGTGGATATATGTTTGAGGGTGATGTGCCATATGAATATGTGCAGAAAATTAGGAGTGTGAAGATTAGAAGATGATGTGAGTTACCAAGGAATAATTCAAAGAGCTGAAGAGGAACTGTTGAGGTGGTTTAGGCATTTACAG